AAAGAGTTTATGTAATCTCCTGAATTGCCACTGGAAGTATAGGCTTTTTAATATTTATTTCACTCCAAGCACTTTATTTTTCCTGATAGATGGACACAACATTGTGTGTGCCATGGCCCCCCTGCTTTAACTATGGCAGGTTATGGTGCTGCGTCAGGGTTGCTGGTAGTTTTACTAAGAGGTTAGATTTATCTGCATAGAATGGTTTGTATAAGGGTGATCCTGCTGACCTACAGAAGTCCCTTCTTAATGATTTCTATGAAGCTCTGGATCACTTTTGTCAAACTGCCCTACAAACCCTGAAGTTCACCATGGTTATTCTGCTATAACAAGTATATTTAAAGCAACATAATGTCCACATATTACAAATATGTACAAGTTCAGCAAAAGAGAATAATTAACTCCATGCAGCCAGTATCTTTAATATAAAGATACCTTATTTTAGTTTTCAGAAAATTAACAGGTGAGACGGAACTGTTTTCCACTATTGGGCTAATTTTTTTAAACAAGTCATTTGCACAAATGTTAGACAGAATGACGTTGGACAAGAAAATAGTAGAGCTCTTTAAGCACAGAAAATAAAATCACGAACACTTAAGAAATAACTGTAATATTGCCAGCTGAATAGTTTTCATGAAAAAAATCAATATTTTATGTTAAATGGGTGTAATGATTTAGAACATTTTTTAAATACTTTTTTAAAAGATCTAATAATGTACCCAAACTGATCAATCACAAGCTCTTCATTCGCAAATTAAATAATGGAAAAAATAGAGAAAGGGAATTGTATGGAAGAACTCATAGATTTCTCTCTTTTTTAAGTTCCCTATATCTTAATTTCATTACCTTAGGTCCCTTCTTTCATAATACTTGCAGCTCATTGTATGTTCTTTTAAACCACAGTCCAAATAACATGTATTGCACATCAGACTTGGGGTTCTTCTTCAAGCACAAGATACCAACCTGATTCACACTAAAATTAAAAGTTTAAGTGTCTAACCTGAGACTAACAATTAAAATTTGACTTTTGATGAGGCTTCATTACAAATTTTCCCGAGTGTCAATAATGCAAATAAGAATCAAAAGACCTTCCCTAGAGCTATTTTTCATAGTTCAGATTTTTTAAAAACAAGAACGGAAAACAAATGATGTTAGCTTATTTGAAATTTCTTTTTTTGTTTTATCTTGATTTTTTTCCTGTCAGATTCTGCACTTGAATTTGTTGCCAAAAGGTTAAATACCATAACTAGCAGTAAACAAAAGCTTTCTAACAGATTTCCAGTCTCCAGCTGTTCCCTGAGTTAAGTGAGAGAACGTTTTCACAAACAGGCTCAGCTGTCTTTCTCTGAATTTGAAATTTGTCGAGATTCGTAGGCTTTCCTCAAACCAGCTCCTGAGCCTTGTGCTCTACACAGACCAAACTAACCCTGGCATCCTACTCCTCCCCTTGCTAACTGTGCTTGTCAGACCAAGTTCAAACACCTAACTGACTTAAATGGGCAGCAGAACCACACATCTCACTGTTGGCATATAGTAAGATGTGCATGGAAGCATACTTAGATGATTGGTGCAGAGAGCTGGGGAAGAAATGGATGCCCAAATACAGTACACACTTAAAAGCTCTATGGTACATATAGTACTGCTTTTGAAGATTTTTTTTTCCTGGTACGTTTAACCTTTGTACAGCTTGAATGCAAAAACCTGATCAAAGAGAATGCTGGGATGACAGCAGTACGACTCCACTATTTTGGGCCTTATGCCAGCATTTTCCATCCATATTTAATTGGTAGAGATCAGTAGTATAAAGGCCACAGGATCTGTGGCACTATTCAAAGAAAGTCCATTGCAAATGATGGTGTTTGATGCACAGACTGTTTCATCATATATATGAGCATGGCATTAGGGATGCAAACTGTGGCTAAAATACCAATTCGCTCTCATATACATATAGTAGTGTATCCTAAATTCAGAATACATCCTCTTAGAGTTGATTAACATACCCAGCAGAGATATAAATAATATCAGAGAGGTCTAATCTTCAGCAAGCTGCAGCAGTGCTCTTTAATTGTAAGAACGTAAGTGCCATACTGGGTCAGACCAATCGTCCACCTAACCCCACTATCCCATTTCCAACAGTGGCAAGAATGGATGCTTTAAAGGGACAACACTGAATGGGTATATCTAGCATGATCTATCCCCTGTTCATTACCCTCTCTGGCATTCATCATTATTAATTTAGAAATTCCAAATGAAGCATTTCTAACTGTTCTGTTCAACAGCTTGTATTTAAAATGAGGTCCTGGACATAAAACTAAAAACAGAGGATCACAGGCTTTATAAGGGGAAGTGAAAAGGTCAGAATAGAAATAGACTGAAAAAAGCATCTTAACAGGGAAAAGTTTTGTACTTAAAGAAAGTTTTGGGGTCCTCTGTCTCAGTTTTCAACCCTTTTGCCTGTAACACTTAATTTGTTTTTTCCTCTGATGGACTACCAAGCTCAAAAATTACATTATTTAAATCTGCAGAGTATTCTGAAAGATAGCCTGCAGGAGAATTCTTGTAATTAGCCTGTGTGCAAACCTGCAATGTATGCTCGTTAATACTGTACCTCTAATACTGCAACTTCCTGCCCATTTCGAAGCAGACGGAACGTTAAGGGATGCTTGGAATCCAATCCTGGAATGACTTCACAACCACGTAGGGGGATAGAAACAATATGGGTCTTCAGATCTGTCCTGTCCTTGTGGAAAATGAGCTTATTATCTTTCACTCTGCACCAGCGCTCACGCCAGCGGTTATTTGAGAGCACATTGAGATACCCTGCAGCAAAACAGAACACAGGATATTTTATCCTTTCTCCTTTTTAAAAGAAACGTACTTTTTGATGTAATGCTAGTATGTACAAATCTTACAACTGCAGCTGAAGATTAAATTCCAGATGAATCTTTTGATGACAAATGCATGTTTCTTTTAGTCTTTTGTTTGTTTTACAGAAACTCCCACTGTACCAATAACCCAGAGCACAGCATTTAATGATTTGATAGTTTGAACATATGCAAATGACTGTATTGAGTTTATAATTATTATTGGTGGATGTATGCAGAAACTCATCTGCAATAGTGTTTTCTGAAGCTATTTGTAAAAATGGGTAGGGGAGAAAAAACAATAAAATGCCCACAGTAAGTTTTGCCCACTCAACTTTTTCTCTATGAAATCACATTCTCATTTGTGTTGGTGCATCTATATCTACCACTGTGTTTGCACTGTACTGTCTGGTAATATCATCACTGCTAACTCCTGCTGACTCAATTTGAGTATAAGGGACCTAATGGACATTCATATAAATAAGCATCAGGGGCATCTAAGACTATGTACTGAGTGACATACCACTGCACAGGAGACTTAACCAGATGAACCAATTACACAAGCAAGAATATGGGCAGGCTAGTTGTACAGCAAAATATGCCATATGCAACTTAGACTGTGGATGAGGTAGAAACCACCATTCCAGATGCTACAGATATTATTAACCACATATGTGGCTATAAACCATTAGGAACCAGCCATGTCATTAACTGGTAACAAGCCTGGTGAACAGGTGGTCGATGTTCAGGAAACTTAATTTTAAAGGAATCAAAGACTAAAATGTAGTAGAGATGTAGGGCACTGGAAATATGCTTTGCACTACTGTACCATGGCTAGGGAGAGAGCTTGTGTCTGTGATACCCAAAAAGAATTTCCTAAGAAACCATAAATCAAATTCCCTCAAAAATGCATTTTGCTTAGCTAGGTTTTATACGTCTCCTCTACCCTTACTGATCCAAAAACAAGCCACTCTCTGTGTAAGCTGACCCTATATTTTCATGTTCAATTTTAGGAAAAACAGAGATTTTTTTCTGTGTAAAAGTTGATAACTACACATAAAAGTCCCTGAACTGCTATTGCTCTTACAAAATCCCACAGGAGAATTAAGTAACCAGAGAAGAGACCAAAGGTTAAATATGCTGAAAATACTTAAGTAAAAACTTCACTGAAAGGATTCCTGACTTGGCATTATTACTGTCTGCACAAAACTACTGCCAGTACAAAGTCCAGATTGATGGGGGCCTAATTATAAATCAACCCTGTGTATAATCTGAGTGATTCTTATGGTTCTTCTGGAGGAAAATAAGTCAATTTATAATCAAAACAATACAGTGTTTTATGTAAAAAATAAAATATATGTGCTGTTGTTTAGGTTCAAAGCACTACCAGAGAATGTCTAAAGCAGAATCAAAAACACTCCATGGTTTCACTGAAATTAAAAGTAGTATGGCTTAAAAAGAAAAGAAAAATTAGGAAACCTGGGATATATCTACCTAGCTTCTGCAGCACACTTGAGAGCCCCTTTCACAGACACAACCGGCCCACCCACTTCTGCTCTACATGTGCCAAACCCAGAAACAAGTCAGTGAAACCACATTGCTGGCAGTCCCTGCTGCTGAAGACAGATCCCAAGTGGGTAGATGGGATGTGCTTGATTATGGCACTCTCCTGAGGGCACAAGAGAAGCAAGAAAGACATGCCCATGTTAATATCAATTTGATTAACTTTTTTTTAAAGTCTCAAACAAAACACAAGATCTATATTTTCCTCTCTCTTAACAGGATTAAAGAAATAAACAATTAAAAAAAAAACAAATTTACTTGTTATTGATAAATCCTGGTCCTATCTCTTTCTAATTTCATTTGGATCTAGCACTTCTCCCTGCCCACTGACAAACAATAGCTGAGAATCAACTTTCAGCATCTGGGCAGTGTAACAGTAAAAAAAGGTTGGAAGTAAAAACCAAAAAACATTTTTCCAACTATTTAGTTGGTCTAATAAAAGATATCACATCTACCCAAAGAACCTTGCCTGCCTCTGTCCTTAGGCCAACACAATGACAACCAACAACCTTGGAAGTAAAAAGTACCTTTTAGCTTTGCTCCCCATTACATGTCTTGCATGCATTTTATAAAGAGTGTGTGTTTTCACTTCCAGATAGACTATGACAAGAGGAAAGGACTGAATGACATCTTCTTCAGAATGAAATTTATCTGAAATGAATAATCTTCCATCACACATCAGATTTTTAATTTTGATCTCAAAGAGGAAAGCACTTAATCACACTGGAGAGCTATCTCTTTGGTTTTTATTAGCACGATGACTTATAGTTTAGTTTCTCCAGGTTTCTATTCCAGCTACATATATTTAACTTCAAGGCTTGATCCAGCTGGACTTATCTGAAATATGAAAATCCTGGAAGATGCCATTATGCCTATAAAACTGATCTTGGCTATTTATGATTCCCAGCAATATCCAGATGCTCTTCTCCTCTTAAACCAGACTCTGTATAGCTGTACAAGATAATACAACTTTATAGATGAAAAATTCTTCATATACATGCCAGCTTGCCTATTTAGTGGATATTGCTGCCCCCACCCTCCCTAAATCTCACTTTTTTCTTTTCCCACAGTGCCTCCCTGAAAAGACATCCCAATCTATCACCCTTCACTTGAATAGAAAGTGGACTCAACATTTTCCTTGTAAATGTTCCTAATTTTAACTTTCTAACTTTTTAACTACTTTATACGTGGCACTATTAGGCCAGAGTAAACTAATTAACTATGCCATAGGTTAGTACTGCCTGATACAAGTGCTATCCCACAGCAGAGTTATGTACTCTGCCACAATGCACATGTAGACAGTGACCAGGGCTGGCTAAGGCATAAGGATGCTACAGTGCAGGGGATGTCTGTAACACCCTCGTGCAGCACACTGAGCTGGGGCAGAGTAGCTTTGGGGTGGCAGGCTGGACCCCTGGGCTCCCTGCCAGCTGAACCACCCCAGCTCAATGTGCTGCGGGCATGGGCACACGTGTAAACACTGTGCCTAGGAGCAATAAACTCTGGTACGAACTGGGCCGGAGTTTATTGTGTTGCATTAATATTTATTTACAAACATGACCACAAACTAACACAAAAATACATCATCCACAAAAATGCCATCTAACAACCAAAGCAAATAATTGGTAATATACGTTTTCAAATTAAGCCTAGAAACAGCTGAGTTGAGCCTGTTACAAACAATACAAATGGCTACATTTCATTCTAGATGCTCCATTAACTATAAATACTACAGATTAGATTATATGATTGTAGTTAATTCAGAAGTAAGATATTTCCCTTCCCAAAATGTTTAACCTAATACAGAGTGGTCTACTGACCAAACTTTCCAGGCTCTGCAAAGTTTGAGCATCCATGGAAGCCAGATGCTGCAAGGCATCAGTTTAGCTGGACTAGGCTTTCCAGCTCTCCAGCTGTTCTTTTTGGTTGATCTGCATTCAGCTGACACACACACACATTTAATAAAAGGTTGCTTATACAAGTGATTCTCAAGCTGTGATGTGTAAGCCACCTGCGATCTATGGAGTGCTCCCAGGAGGTCTGCAGAACTATTTCTGTCACAACGAACAAGCATCTAGCAACACTGCATGCTTTCTGCCAATTGTTGACCAATCATATCCGAGTTGCCGGAGGTTTTTCTGACCAGCCACAGAGGAAAGGCAATCCCTTTCTGCATCTCTGAACCTTGCTGATCTGTTTCATGGTTTTCTTTTATGGTTGTTTCTTTGGCTTAAAAACTAAGATGTGTTCCCATCTGGAGATGTCACTAAAATTAGAGCACCAGCAAGAATACAGTAGAACAAGACTACAATGCAAAGTGACCTGGAAAAATCAGAGTTGTTGGAAAATCATACCTGTCAGCATTAATATACAGAATCCTAAATATGGGAAGAAAAAAAATAAACAGAAGAAATGCAAAATGGCAGAGAAAGTGATGTAAGCGTCAGCTGAATTTACATGCTTACCTTATATAATATATCCTTAAATAATATATCTCGATGTACCAAGAGCCAGAGGAAAGGCTTGAGATTAGGACTGTAAGTGGAGGGGCAGAAGTTCTACAATATATTTTACAAACTTACAAACTTTTGCACAATGTGTACAAGTTTAAGAACATAGGACCAGAAAGGACCTTCTAGAAAGTCCTATTAGTAATATAAATTTTCAGGCCTAGACACAGGACTGATTAGAGCCTGATATTATGCACAATGCTAAAACAACATTTACTGCTCAGATACTAGGTGGTAAGTATAGAAATACTACAAGTTGAGATTATTTGTCTATGGGTAAATTTTGGGAGTCATGACATGTCGGGAGAAATCTCACATAGCGGGGAGTAGTTATCTGACTCCATACCAGATACTCCATGCCATATATTTCCTTTCATAAACAAACCAAGAGTCATCTTAGAAATAAATATGTTTTTAGAAAGCAAGTAGAGAGACTCACTGCCCTCAGGGTGAAGAAAATCCTTCTAATTTTCAAGCTAACATCTATTTGTGAGCAATTGATTCTTGTCTGTTGTTGTGTTGGCTTTGGCTTAATTTAACAGTTAGCTGTTTTCTGGCTGTGGGCTGAAATGGCTTGTTTCCTCCCACCACCCAGCTGTGGCATGGGTGAATCTCCTCAGTGCCCAGCTGTCAATGTCCTTGCTCTCAAATGCCGCTGAAGCCCCAGCTTAGTGAACCAGATCCAATAGCTCTGCAAGCCAGATCCAGCCAATGGACCACAGGTTGCTGACCCCTTGCTTAAGTAGCTCTTTTCACTCCTTGGTGTTTACTCCTTTGATAACATATTTCAGCCTTTGGTTTTTGAGTCTGAACTAGCCAAGGTTTTCTAGTCTCCTCTTATATGGTAAATTCCCAGATCATCCTAGTATCCCTACTTGGCATCTGTTCCAGTCTAGGTTCACCTTTCTTTAATATGAGAATAATTTACAGCAGGGCAATCTTACTCTTAGGGAAGGGTACTATCAAGCTTTAGTTGCAGCAAAAGCTCAAGACAAAGTGATCCAACTCTCTTACCACATGTTGGAACATCTTCCTCAGCCGATGAGGTCTGTTCATCTGTTGATGGTTTTTTCTTTCCTAAACCAATGATCTTCGTTATTTTTTTCCCTGTTACTTTAGTTACAGTACCCTTGGCCTCTGACTTTGAACTCTTTTTCCTCTTCACTGTCAAGAAAACAAACACGTTTATGTCTTAGGATGTACAAATGAAACCAATTGCAGGAGAGCACAAGGATCAAACACAAAGGGAATAACTGCACTACAGAAAAACAAGCATGCATGAAATGGTCACTATTCTTAGCATGAGAATTTGGCATACAGAACATAGTTCTTTTCAACCATGAGATACATACCCACAAGCCTGGTAATGCCAATGCTAAGTTCACAGGCTCAAACCAATTTAAAAAAACATGGCATACAGAAAGATAGGGACACCAAAAAGTAAGTTCATCATTTAAATTCACCAGTATAATGACTTCTTTCTTTTATAATAATCATCTAATTTTGCAATGTCCTTTGGATACTTGTGTAGATGTACCCACTAAATTTAAAATATACATATGCTTTACTGCAGGGTAGACTAACTAGCTCTGTAGTAAAGTGTCACCGTCTACTTACGTGCCAGTTTTAGGGCACAGTAAACTAATTAACTCTGCCGTAAGATAGTACTGCCAGAGTACTTAACTGTGCAGAAACACGTGCACTGGGGAGTATAAATTGCCCCTGGTCAGCCCAGCCAGGTGGGGGCCTGCTCTGCCCTGGCTCAAATTGCTGCTGTTCCAGGCCCACATGTAGACACTGTGCCCGGGAGTAGTTTACTCCAGCTCAAATTGCTCCAGAGTTTATTGCTTCACATTAATTGCACATGTAGATGCACTCGCTGAGACCATCTACAGGTGCCCCTATGCTGTACTGTGCTATCATTTAATATTTCCTTTTGGAAGTACTAAATAATGGTGCAGTACAGCGCATACTGCACCGTGCACACTGCACACAGTTACTTTTAGCTGCTAAGTCACTGTAGCAATGCACTATATTGCGGGAACACATCAATATGGAGATGTAGCTACAGCATCACAGTTTGAGCCCATAGATGTTACATCGCCATAGCACATTGCTACAGCGATGTAGTGTCACATATAGATATACCCACTGCATCTAAAATGCAATACAAACAAAGCTGGACAATATCCATTCATTTTTCAAAATATAATGGCATTAATATATAAACACATATCAACAGATCAATATATGGTAAGAATGCCATCCAAATATAATGGCAACGAACTAGATGCATCTTCCACACTCCTCCACATTCTTGCCGCTGGGACAACATCAAGGAATCTACACTGATCAAAAAGGGTCATTTTGAAAAGTTCCTGTATAGGATAACTTTTCTTTACAAAGAAATAATTAAAGTCACTTAAGGTAACTGACGATTAGTGCTCACTAAGATTTGGTGCTCAATTTTAGGGAACAGACAAAGTGGAAGGAAAATAGTTTACTGGGATATAATCTATACTGTAGGGGATTTAAAATATATTATTATTACCTTTTGTACTTAAAATAATACCAAACATTCACAACCAATAAAAAAAGAGCTGAGCTGCAAAACAAGAATGGGCTGGAAATCACTCACCCACCCTAGGTTTTATCAGCAGCCTAGGTTAACTTGCAAACCCAGGCCTTTTTTGAACTGACTTTGGCCGATTTAAAATTTGACAAGAGATGAAATTTACTTGAGTGTTTTTGATGAAGTTTATCTGAATTTTAGTTTGTTAGAACTTGCAAGGCACACGAACAACAACCATCAATGGGTGTGAACTAATGTGAACTGAGTCAAAAAAGACTGAGCAAATGGTTCACATGAAAAGCATGAACTGAAATGTAAAACACTGGCCTAAATGCAGTGATGTTAGAAAAATATCTAATGAATAAACTGTATGAACTGAACACCTACAGTAAAGAATGTACCTAAAAAAAAGAGAAATAATTAAGTAATTATCAAAGCCATAATATGGTCTCTATTTTAGCTATTAATTAACATGGAAAATCATTAGAAACTCTGTCTGACTGACTGTCGCCTTCTGTGAGTATCTGTCATTAATTATATGCAGCTCTGCGGGAACAAAAAAATCTCATTTTCTCAAGTGGACAGTGAATTATAGGCAAACAGCAGTAAAGTAACTACTTGCATGTGAAAACAAAGGGCTAAATCTTGCTCCCACAACTGCAAAGAATGATCTCAACTAATATTTTACTTTCCCTATGTGCAATGAACTCCCAAAGATCTAGGGACAACATTTGCTCACAGCCGTGTGAACATAAAGAAACAGCAGAAGGCAGCACTTGACTGAAGACAAGTTGCTATCCCACACAGCACCAGTTTAACAACATCTGGAGCAGGGAAGAAAAGACAAAAGGCACTTATGTGATTGAGGAATATGCTCCCCTATTGACAAACATCTTTCAGTGAGGTGGAAGGAGAACAAGAAGAGTACTCCCAGAATAAAGATCAGGTAGTTAAACTAGCTGATTTGAACTCTTCCTTGTCACTTCCCATGATGTCCCATCCTGACATTGAGCTGAAATATAGAAGAAATAAGGTCTCCTATGGCCTTTTTCCTCCAGTTGAGGGAATGCATTCTCTGGTCTTAAGACACAAGTAAGACAATTCTTTTCACCTCCACCACAGCATAACAAGAAACGTGTGAATGTGGGATTACAACAGGGGTGGGCAAAACGGCAGATGCAGCCAGACTCCATTTCCCAGCAGCTGATTCCTGCGGCGGGTTTCCACAGAGACCCCAGCAGCGGCAGTGCTGTGACAGTGCAGGGCCAGGGTTTCCATGGAGACCAGCCCCAGCAGGGGTGGCAGGGTGCGCAGTGGGGCAGGGAACTGCTCCAGGGCCAGGGCTAGGATCTTGTAGTGGTGACAGCCTGGTTAGGAGCCAGGGCAGAATTGCCATCTCCTACCCACATGCCTCAGGCAGGAGTTCTGCTCCAGCTTGGAATCATGCTGTCACTGCCACAAGATCCCAGCCCCAGATCCTGAAGCAGCTCCACGCCCAGCTGCATGCCCTGCCAGCACTGCTGGGGCTGGTCTCCATGGAAACCCTGGCCCTCCCCTGTCATGGTCCTGCCGCTGATGGGTAGCCATGGAAACTGGCCACAGCAATGTAGGCAGGGGCTGCTGGGAAATGGAGTCCACCACCAGCCTGATCCAGCCCACAGGCTGCACTTTGCCTGCCCCTGGAGTAAAGCAGACAGGCAATGCCTCTGTTGGACAGGACTTGAAACTGGTGCCCAGTGAATTTAGTTTTTTCTCATTTAGCCAAATGAGCTTTCCAATTTTCCCAGCCCTCGTTGTTTAAAACTGAATATAAAAAAAATGCCATAATTCGTCTAGTACCCCTTAAAATTTTTCAGTGGTCCCAGAAATGTTATTTTGAACTAAATGTCACCATTTGTATTAGTCTCCTGTGACAGAAATAAAGGCTAAGATTTCAACAGTAACTAGTGATTTTGATTACTTGGTTCAGGAGCATTAAAGGGGCTTGATTTTCAGAGCTGGCATGCTTACCATCTTCTAAAAATTAAGGGTCTTTGAAGTGCCTCAATTCAGGCATTCAAAATCACTGTTCATACATTCTGGTCAATTAGACCATGATGGCTGCAATAGTTTTGAATGGTTACCGTATTTCCATACTTCATGCTTTCTGTCATTTAGTGAAAATGTTTGTGGAAGCCCATCACATCATTTGGTTTTTAGGAATCAGATTGTGTAAACTGATGAAACTATTACCCAAGTTGTAAACTGTAACAGCTTCCCAAAACCAATTTATCTGTCCACTCCTATCCTAGTACAAAAGGAACCTAAAGTAATGCAACTATCATACCTTCTCAGATACCACATACCTCCAAATAACATACACACCTTGTTTTGGGAATATAGAAAAAAAAAAAGAGATTTTTCCGGGGTCACTGCCTACAGCTGGCTTCTTCATAGAGAGGCTGTGTTGTCAGGTGGCTGCCAGCTTCTCTTGCAGACAGCAAACAGGAGGGGTAGTATACAGTGTTAACCCGTTCAGAGCTACTCTCAAATTTGAGAGTAGCTGTGAAAGGGTTAACACCATACTGCCCGAAATGAAAGCTGGTAGTCATCTTGCAGCACTGCCTCTTCATGCTTTTATTTCAGAGAAGAAAAATTACTTTCTCTGCTTAAGAAATGTATCCCTATTTTAAAGGGCTGATTTGGGGGGAAAAAAGTATGTGAATTGTAAGTGTGCACCGATAAAGATTTTCTAGGGGTGCACTGATACCAATAGCTGATTTTTAACCAGATTTAACTGACATAAAAAAACCCATTTTTTTGGCACATTCCAGCAGCGTCCTGTGTCACATGCATCAGCATCCCACCAAAAATGGTGCTTGAACTAAAACTCATTGAATGAGCTTTAGTTCTAGTGCCGCCACCACCATTTTTAAGCATGGGGACGTTTTTAAGCGGAGCGGAGCCGAGTGTGGTGAGGGCGGATGCAGTCTGCCCGTTGTGGGTTTGGGGCTCTCCGTTTGCTGCCTTTGCCCCAGGAGCCCTACGCCAGCCACACGCCCCCTGCCTGCCCAGCTGCACAACTCATTGCCCCCACTGCTGCTGGGCAGGCAGGGGGCATGCAGCTGGCATGGGGCTCCTGAGGGAAAGGCAGCAGAGTAGAGAGCCCCAAGCCCACAGCAGGCAGCCCCCATCCACCCCACAGACAAATATGGGCGGGGGGGCACATGCCCCACCATGCCTCCCCTGGAGGGTCCACATAGTGGTGGGGAGCTCCCCCTCCCCCCGCCCCACGGACGAGCTGCTCATGGCTCTGTCCCACTCCCGCTCTGGCCCTGGGTCCTATGCACTGCCCTGGCTGGGCACTGCTCCCAGCCCTAACCCCTACCCCACTCCCTCCCTCACTGTGAGGGCCTCAATCTGCACCATCCTGGCCCCTTCCCTCCCCCACACCCCTTGCCTGCCTGCAAGGAGAAACCCACCATTTCCCAAGGGAGCCCAGGCATTTGTGGACCCCGGTTCCACAGGGGAGAGGGAACCCGGGTGTCCAGGGCCCTAACTCAGAAGGCATAGTTAATGGTAAACATTAGAGGCTACAATGGCCAAAAAAAGCCAATAATGTCATTTCCCCTTTTATTGGTGCCTATCCAATAGGCAACTGATATATCAATGCATAGATTCATAGATGTTAGGGTCGGAAGGGACCTCAATAGATCATCGAGTCCGACCCCCTGCATAGGCAGG